CCGATCTACTCCCCATCCCAAACATCACACACATGTAGTCCCCGACCGCTGGGTCTTGGGTGAGGAAACCAGAATCGACCCTCTTTCTGCCCAAGCTAAGCACTTAGGGGGTCTCCCCGCGCCCTCAGCAGATCAGACCTGTGCCCTAGGAGCCTCTAAACGGGCCGAAGAAGGGGAAAATAAATCGGAGGGAGGGGTCTCAGAGAAAGAGCCGTTATTTCTTTTTCCTCTTCGTTAGGAAAGCGCGCGAGCGGGGAGGGGCCAGAAAAACGAACGCCAGTTACCTAAAGGTCCGGCTGAGCCGGTTAGCCTCCTGAAGCCGACGCCGGCAGGCTGCTGAGGTGGCAGCACAACCACAGTCGCCCGGACGGCTAGGAACCGAGGCAGGGGTGCCCGAGGTGATGGGAAGCGGGGGGTGGGGACTATGGTGAGCGACGTCGCCATGTTAGCGCCTTCCTTCTCCGTACCCCACAGTCTCCAGTCCTGCAGCAATCTCCCCATCACTACTCACCTTTCCAGGTCACTAATTCATGCGCCCCTCGGCTGCCCCGGAGCCCGGTGTTTACAAACTACCCCTGGAGGAAAGGGCTGAACCGTACTTTAAAGGCCACGGGCTCCCACAGGCTTCCGTCCTCTCTCGCGAGATCGGACTGACAACCCTTCTCCCCGCCCCACTCCCGGCATCCTCCCCATTCTTCTCATACCCCTCCCCTCCAGGCGCACGCCCCTTCTTGCCTTTCTTCAGAAGGAGCGACTCCGAGTCAGGTGATTCCGTCAGGCTTGACGCAGGGGGCGGGAGTTCAGAAGGGCGGGGATGGAGTGGGCGGAACCAAGAACACTCGGGCACTGGTGATTGGACAAAGAGACCGAAGAGAGGGAAGCAGTTCTGGAGGGGGCGGGAGTAGAGAGACCCGTAACTGTTGCCTTCCAATCGATTTCGACTAATAGCGACCCTGGGGGACAAACCTGTCCCATAGGGTTTCCAAGGCAGGCTGCCACATCTTTCTCCCGCGGAGCAACTGGTGGGTTTGAACCGCAGACCTGTCGGTTAGCAGCCGAGTTTTTAACGAACGGTTTCTCTGTAACCCTGGAGCTGCGGGAGACTTTGATTGGCAACTGGCCGGCGCGGGAGCAGGTGGCTGTTGAGGTCAAGGTAGGGGACTGGTGGTGTGCAGGGAGAAAAGGTGAGCTCAGGAAAGGCTGCGAGTGGCGGGAGAGAAAGCTGGTGAGTCGCCAGCCCCGGGAGCCGGGTAGTTTCGTTGCTGTCCTTGCCTGGCCATGGTGAGGACATGGGTAAAGCTATGGGAAGGGGAGTTTAGGTTAAGCTGAGGTTTGGGAGAGGCAGAGTTTGAGTAGTTACCCCAAAATCCCCTACACGCCTAAAGAGAGAAAACCGATTAGGCAGTTCTGAAAAGAAAAAGCCTTTACTCTGAGTGATGTTTGTTGGAATTTTACTAAGCTGTAAGTGGAATTGATTGTTCAGACTCCTTTTTCCCAGCATCAAAATTAAAAACTTTTATACATCAAAGGACTTTATCAACAAAGTGAAGAGTTGTTGTTAGGTGCTGTCAAGTCGGTTCCAACTCATAGCAACCCTGTGTACAACACAACGAAACACTGCCCGGTCCTGCACCATCCTCAAAACTTGCTATGCTTGAGCCCATCATTGCAGCCAGTTTGTCAATCTGTCTCATTGAGGGTCTTCCTGTCTCTCTGACCCTCTACTTACCAAGCATGATGTCCTTCTCCAGGGACTGGTGCCTCCTGATAACATGTCCAAAGTAAATGAGACGAAATCTCACCATCCTCACTTCTAAGGAGCATTCTGGCTGTACTTCCTCCAAGACAGATTTGTTCGTTCTTTTGGCAGTCTATGGCGTAGTCAGTATTCTTCGCCAACACCGTAATTCAAAGGCATCAATTTTTCTTCAATCTTCCTCATTCGTTGTCCAGTTTTGCATGTGTATAAGCCAATTGAAAATACCACAGCTTGGGTCAGGTGCCCCTTAGTCCTGCTTTTTAACACTTTAAAGAGGTCTTTTGTAGCACATTTGCCCAGTGCAATATGTTGTTTGACTTCTTGACTTCTGCTTCCATGGACGTTGATTGTGAATCCAAATAAAATGAAAATCCTTGACAAGTTCAATATTTTTTCTGTTTATCATGATGTTGCCTATTGGTCCAGTTGGAAGGATTTTGGGGAGAAATTTTTTGGGAACCATATCTAAATAAGGGTTTAATATCCAGTATATATAAAGAAAAGTCCAACAACTTAACAAAAAGACAGCTCAATCAAAAATGGGAAACGAATAGACATTTCACCTAAGGAGATATACAGATGTCCAACAAGCACATGAAAAGATGTTTAGGGAAATGGAAATAAAACCACAATGAGATGCCACTCCACTCCCACCCCCCAACTAGGATGGCTATGATATAAAAACGAAAACAACGGATGTTGGTGAGGATGTGGAAAAATTGGATCCTCATCCATTGCTGGTTATTGTTGTTGTTAGCTGCCATCAAGTTGGCCTTGACTCATGGCAACCCCATGCACCTCCTGGTTCTGCATTATCCCCTTGATCACTTGTGAATCAGGCCTTTGTGATTCATAAGGTTTTCATTGGCTGATTTTCAGGTGGATCATGAGGCCTTTCTTCCTAGTCTGTCTTACTTTGGAAGCTCCACTGAAACCTGTTCAGCATCATAGCAATAGAAGAGCCTCCGCTGATAGATGGGTAGTGGCTTGCATGAAGTGCCTTGGCCAGGAATTGAACCCAGGTCTCCTGCATGAAAGGCGAGCATTCTACCACTGAACAACCGGTGCTTCCCATTGCTGGTGGTAAAGTAAAATGGTGCAGCTGCTGTGGAAAACAGTTTGGTGGTCATGTAAACATTAAACATAGAATTACTATATGACCCAGCAACTCCACTCCTAGGTATATACCCCAAATAATTGAAACAGGAATGCTATGAACTTGTATACCAATGTTCATTACATCACTATTCACAATATCCAAAAGGTGGAAAGAACCTACATGTCCATTAACAGATAAATGGATAAACATAATATGGTATATGCATACAGTAGACTATTACTCAGCCATAAAGAGAAATAAAGTCTGGATGCATGATACCACATGGATGAAACTTGAAAACATTATGCTGAGTGAAATAAGTCACAAAAGGACAAATACTGTATGATCCCACTTACATGAAATATTTAGAATGGGCAAATGTATACAGGCCAGAGTTCGTTAGTGGTTACCTGGGGTAGGAGGGAGGAATAAAGGAAGACACTGAGATTCTGTTAAGTGTTATGGAAAACTTTGGAAGCAGACAGCGGTGATGGCTGTAAGTGAAGAACATAATATCACTGAAACCTATACATAAAAAAATGTTGAAATAGCAAAAGTTTTGTAATATGTATTTTTACCACAATGTGGGGCAGGGAAGAAAAAGAGGGAAAGAACGTTTTATTAGCATGAGGGGAAAAAAAGGCTATCTTTACTGCTTTGCAATGACAGACGCACTCCTAAAAACACAGAACAGTGATGAAAATACTTTCTTCTTAATGTTGTTCTATGATTCTTTACACAACTTAAAGATTTCAGTGCTTACTGTAGCAATAATGATTATTCTATATTGGTACAAAGTGAAAAGCATGATAAACGGTCCTAGGAAAATTTGCATTACTATTTTTTAAAAAGAGAGCAAGTTTATTTCAATGCCTTATCTTTTTCCATTTATTAAATGCTGATTTCTAGTCTATGCTAAAATTATGAATAAAGTTTATATATTAGCCTATAATGCATTCTCAAATAATATCTCTACACCAAGATGAAACTGAAATTGTTGGAAGATTCTAGGGAACATCATTTGAGAGTTAATGAACCTGCAGTTCAATAATGGCACCTGGCATAAAAGTGAAATTGGATTTTTTAACAGGTTTCTGGCCTGTATACATGTATGTGAGCCAACTCAGCCCTCTTTTAAAACTGATTTTCATTCTTCAAGAGACATGGAAGTTGTAAAATGATTAACACTGGGTTTACTTCTCAAATGAAAATGAAAGTACCATCAGTATATAATATCAGTAACATTGTAGCAGTGTTGGTGTAGTGTAGTGTATCACTAATTACATCAAAAAACCCTCAGCATCTCAGATTATGGAATGGACATAATGGTGCACAAAATGTGAGATTGACAGATCACAAACTGTTAGGTCTAGAATGCATTCACTATAAAGGTGCTTCTCTTCTCCATCCCCCAAACTTCTAATGCGGGAAAAAGAGCTATAAATGTTATGTCATTTCAAAAGAGCTTTGTATCAATTAGTGGTTTTTTTAAGCAATTATTTTCCATTCACATACAAGAAAAAGTTGAAATTCTTTCCTCCAGTTTTAATTCATTATCAGTTGGCTGTAGCTTTGGTTTTAAACTTCTCCTCCTGTTAGCTACGTCTCTCGTCTGTTGTCAAGTAGTTAATTATCTACATAATGTACTAGAGGAACATGCTATTTTAAAGAAAGTCTTTCATGAGTCCTTAAACAAGAGAAGAATCATTTAGTAATATGAATAGTACTCTGATTTATTTAGAGAATGCAATTTTAGCTAACTTTCTAAAGAGAAGGTGTTTTGGATTGCATTGTGCCCAGTCAAAATATGTGTTGGAAGACCAACCCCAAAACATTTGGGAATAGAGTTTCTTTTGTTATGTTAATAAGGCCATATCCATGTAGGGTGTATCCTAAACCTAATCACTTCTGAGTTTAAGGAGCAGCATAGCAAGCACAAATGGGGGGAAGATAGATGCCACATGAAGATTGCCAAGGAGATGAGGAGCACCGGGGCTATAGAAGATGAAACAGACAAAAATCTTTCCCCAGAGACATCAGAGACCCTTCCCCTAGAGCCATTGCCCTGAATTCGAGCTTCTAGCTAAAGTCCCTGAACGATGAGAAAATAAATTTTTGTTCTTTAAAGCCACCCCCTTGTGGTATTTCTGTTACAGCACCACTAGGAAACTAAAACAAAAGGTATACCTAAAGTGTGAAAAAATAAAGGAGATCAAGGGAAAAAAACAGGTGGAAATGATGCAAATCTGTTACATACGCATGTTGGTAGCCTGGCAGTTAGCAAAGGGTCTCACCTTATCTACATACATCTAGCTCCACAACAGTTCCTTTACTGTAGCTTTCCTACTATACATAGGGAGAACACTCACTGTGCACACAATGCATGTAGTTGCTATTTCAAGTTCTGATCCATGAACTTGTCTTTTTTTATTTTTAATTTTTTATATACTTTGTTTTATTTTTTATTGTTGTTGAAACTATACACAGCAAAACGTACATCAATTCAACAATTTCTACATGTACAATTCAGTAATATTGATTACATTCTTCATGTTGTGCAACCATTCTCACCCTCCTTTTTCCCAATTGTTTCTCCCCCATTGACATAAACTCACTGCCCCCTAAGCTTCCTATCTAACCTTTCAAGTTGTTGTCAGTTTGATCCCATATAGATAGTTCTTCAAAAGAGCACAATGCTCAAGGCAGACATTCTTTACAAATTAACCTAAACTATTGTTTAGTTTCTGTTTATGGTGATGGAAAATTTGCACTGATTAAGGGTAATGGT